TCTGAAAATTACTCAAATCGGATTCCAAGATTTGTTTCCTTGATCAAACAGAGGAAAACAGAAAATGGCAACAATGCCATTAGTCACTGTAACAGCTTCAAAGACAGGCAAGCGACTTGTACGTCACCATGTAGCTCGCCCCTCAAACATCAGCTAAGCTTCTTAATGGTTATGTGTTTACGAAAACCACAATCAAGTAGAAGACAAGACAGACTGGTTCGGGACCATTAGAAAACAATGCGATTGTGACCGTGTTAATCAAGCTAACTAACGAGAGTGAGTCTGCCGATATACAGGAAGTTGTGTTTTCTGCACAGTGACTTGGACATGTGTGACGTACTCCCGCCAATGGGCAGCAAAAAAAAAATCAATCATCAATCAAGCGTAAGCGGTCACCTGTGGATCATGTTGTGAGAGTGAAGGTAGGCCAGCCCCTGCAGCGCTCCGTGAGTAATAGCAGCAATCTCCACCTCCTGCAGAGGCTTTTTGTGAACTGCAAACAACAACCGTGTTGGATGCCAATTAAAAAAAATAATCGTGTGGCAGTCACTGGGACGGGCCGACCTTCGCGGTAAGACTCACCTTCAAGGAGGTCGGAGGCGGATCCGAGGCAGTACTCCATCACCAACTGCACACAGAGTAGACGTGGTTTGAAAAACGAATCTTGAAAACGTTCCGTCCCGAAACCATGTTTGAATCTCAACTTCATACTTATTTTCGCATTATTGCATGAAGTTGAATCTCACATTGTATGGAAGTTGCCTCTTAATCTGCTTTGGAGCCTGTGGTTTGGAATTTTGGCCTGTTTTACTTCAGCTTCTCCCCCCTACTCCTGCTTGGAGTGAGGGATAGGTGGTGATGACGTATGGATTCAACACCGACCAACTAGGCCAAAATCTGAAGTGGGGGAGATGTAGTGAAGGATTCCGCATGGACTGACCGGGTCGGATCCTGAGGTCAAACCGATCTCCCAAATGTGTCAACCTGCAGCACTTCATCTCATGTAATGGACTCTTATGCTGGACCTAACATTATATACAAGTCCATGCTATGTATTTTTCTTTATTTTCCCTCCCCCACTTATCCAAAAAGCAAATGACAACATTATTCAAATCAAGGTTTGCTTTTGGGTTTTTTTTCCCACTGGGATTTGCTTTATTTCTACTGATAAGAAACACGTTAACCTAACATTATACAAGTCCATGCTATGTATTTTTATTTATTTTCCCTCCCCCACTTATCCAAAAAGCAAACAACATTATTCAAATCAAGGTTTGCTTTTGGGGTTTTTTTTTTCCACTGGGATTTGCTTTATTTCTACTGATAAGAAACACGTTGTTACCCTTGCAGTAACATATAGAAAAATAATTGATTTAGTTTTTTTTCCTTGAGGGATACTGTCAAAATAAGTGCTGAGATCATACCCATGCCGTGTGTTCCTTCAGATAACACCCTCGATACTCGATGGTGTTTGGATGGCGAAGTTTCTGCAGGAATTGTTACCCTTGCAGTAACATAGCAAAATAATTGATTTAGTTTTTTTTCCTTGAGGAATACTGTCAAAATAAGTGCTGGGATCATACCCATGCCGTGTGTTCCTTCAGATAACACTGGTCACCTCATTCGTCTGCTTGCCGCTGTACGACATCTTCTTGATGGCAACCACCTCATTGTTGCGCACGTCTCGGGCCTGAAAGGTGAGTCAGCCGGCGGAGACAATGAAGCTTGGGCAGTCAACGTTGTACGGAAAGCATACTATTTATTTTGATCAAGATAAACTAATCAGAAATATAGTCTGGACATTGCTGATGTGATTTAAAAAAAAAAAAAAGGTAAATTTCTTTCAAACATAATACCAATTCTAAGATGACCCCAAGAGAAAATGAAGCTTGGGCAGTCAACGTTGCACGGAAAGCATACTGTTTATTTTGATCAAGATAAACTAATCAGAAATATGGTCTGGACATTGCTTATGTGGTGGAAAAAAAAAAAAAAAAAAGTAAATTTCTTTCTAACATAATACCAATTCTAAGATGACCCCAAAACAGTTGACAAGCAGCGAACAACAATGTGTTTTATTATAAGATTCTAAAATGGTCTGGGTGACCTAAAACTGGAATGATAGATTTTTAAAGAGCAATTTAACTGTAATCTTTCTGACATTATTGTACCTTAAAGCAAAATAAAAACCTGCGATTGATTCTGAGGTATAAAAAGCATCCTCAACCCGAGTGGCAATATGGTCGTTTGAGGTTGGACGACTCACAAAGTAGACGGCTCCAAAGCTGCCGTGGCCGATCTCCCTGAGGTCGGCGGAGAGCTTCTCCGGGTCATCCCTGGAGCAACAAAATGGCAGCCGATGTTAACGGACGGAAAGTTAACTAAAGAGTCGGACTACAGTGAAGCACCGTTTCTCACGGGGGATGATGCATTTCCATACCTGCCCACACCAACCGGGTGAAAAAAGATGACATAAAAACTTGGTTTTAGCTACCCCAAATGCTTAAAACCCATTTAAATGTATTAAAAATACATTCCAGTGAGTGAAAACACATCAACTTAATAAAAGACACTTTTCCCAAGTATTTCTTTGCATCTGACCTCACTCTGAATTGCACAGTGCACCAAATAAGAGCAAACGTGTGCTTGCTGCAAGCACACGCCCAGCTGAGGTTTATTATAAAACTGACATGTAAGACACTAATACCAGCAGGCATTATATTTTTAAATGCCTACATGACGAACCAGCCCATTAAAATAAACATCCTGTAGATTAGTGCTTATAGAAAACGTTAAGCGTCATGTACAGGCTAACGGAAATTAGCCAAACTGTGTGTAAATGGTCAGACAACTGCTATTTTAACACACATGCGCATACAACCAACCACCCTCACAGGCACATATTCTCGCTGCTCTGTGGGAACATCTACAACTGGCTTCGTTGAGGAACTTCTCTGACACTTCTTTCTCTTAATTATGCTGCACCTCTTTCGGTAGAGCTTAGTGCCTTCATGAGTAAATCGGTACCTTGAAGAAAGAGGCGCCATACAGAGACCTGGTATCAGTACTCACCCTAATGTAAAATAAACAAATGTGATTTTATATAGTTGACGTTCACTTGAGTCAAATCTTCAGCTCTACTTTTCCCTGTACGATGAATATAAGGCCAGTTTGACCCTGGAACAAATTCTTTCCCAGGCATGTTGGATTGCCATGATGATGACGATGATCATCATCATCATCATCATCACAGCTGTTAAGAAGCGTGTGAGGTGACCGTGTGGAGCATTTGGATGTCTTTAAGCGTGTCACCGCGCTTGTGACAGGAAACATCACCACCAGGCGTGAGTGATTCAGTAAGCGCACAGAAAATAGAGAGAGGGGTGGAAAAAAAAAAGCCCGTGGGCCCACTCGCCCCCCCCCGCCCCCCCCTACCGAGCGCACACGCATTCTTTCAAAATGCGGTCAACCAATTTCCATTTATACATTTGAGTGGCCTTCAGCAGGAAGGAAGGAAGGCAGGCGATGGAACAATCCTGACAAACAAGCGGCAAAGTAGGCAAACGAGTAGCTGCAAACCAGAGCGCAGACTCCAACGAAAAGCAGGAAGTCATAGACACAGCGCTGTGTCTTTGTTTCGCCACAACACCTTTCCATGACACACGTGCTTAGTCAGCGTTGCCTAATGAGCGTCGTCGTGTGACTCAGCCACATGGTTGGACAATGCGAGCTGATGCAGCAGCTGCATGCCATTCAGATCCCGCAAAAAGAGCGTCAATCCGGACGAAAAGGGACCAATATTGCATGAGGCTTGAGTGACAGCCGCCGGTTGCCAGTCAGGCCACAATGTGCTAGAAGATTACATCATAAATAAGTGCATGTTTTGCTTCAAGTGGAACAGCCGGCCATCAACTGGAACTGCAGCCACATCTTGGAACAGAAGGACTGGCTGCCATAAATACAGTGCCGTCCATCATGATTGGTACCTCTGATTAAGATTTATTAAAAGCCTTCACTTTTTGATTGCAGAAGCATACTATCATGTTGGAAATTGTGGAAAGAAGGCAGAGACTCAAGCTCCTCCCAAAGCCATTTCAGTCCACAGACCTCAACCCTAGTGAAAACCTGTGGATGGGGGCTAAAAAGGAAAGTGTAGACATTTTAGAACAATCGGTCCCTCTTTCTATAATCTGCCATCTTCGGAAACATTCGAGAAGAATAGGTGTTGTTTTGTTGGCAAAGGGGGCTCGTAGAAAGTTTTCACAATCATTCATTCTTCGAGCCGCTTATCATCACTATGGTCGCGAGCGCACCAGGGATGCTCATAATTGTGACACACATGGTTTGATATAAAATCATTATTTCATCATGCAGGATTTCCCCCCACATAAATCTTGTGTCAAATGTTGTCCACTCAGCATCTATTGCCGCATACAGTATTTGAGCATGACGTCTCTGATCCACTAGTGAAAGGACACTTTGATTCTCTCCTCTTTCATCTCAAACTGCTTTGAACAACAAAGCGTTATGAGGGAGAAGTGATTAGGATTGCAGACTGTCCGTCTTTTATGTTATGTGTTGTGTTTACAGTTTTACTTAAACTGTTTTGTTAAGCCCTTTGTTACAGCTGCAGCTGTTGTGAAAGCACTATGTAAATCAGATTTCTCATTTTCCCTGAGATGTTTTTTTGTTGTTTTTCCTTGACCTCTTGGGGGTTAAGATCAGGGTGTCGCTAGTATTTGTCAACTGTGGGCATGTGAAGCCCTTCACGACTGTTTGTGATTAAGGGCTATGTAAATAAATAGGACTTGACTTGAATAAATGCACTTGAACTAAAAAGGTTTGGGGTTCCTCTTATACATTTTGATGCTATATTATTGAGAAAAGACTATGAAAGGCTAAAGATCACATTTTGATTAGGGGTGCTAATCGTTGTGGAGTGCAGTGTATGTGCATATATATGGTCAATATCCTATGGACTGATCGCCAGGACACATGGCGCACATTCGAATCTCTGTCCAATTTGTTTCGCTTCATTGTAGCTAACATGCTAGCATATTTTTGGAAGGTGAAAGTAAAACCGAATTTAAGTCCACAGAGAACGGCACCGATTGGAATCGGGTACATCCGAAAGTCTGCGAGGCAACCAGTACTGACTTGAAATGACGCCACATTTGCATGGGACATGCTGTGACGTCAGCCGAGCTAACCCGCTAGTTAGCATGACAGCTCGTGTTCAAACAACAGGAAATATGAAGGCAACCTCGGCTGGTGCGAGCAGAACACAAATAGACGATTGTTCCCAGGCAGACGGAGCCACTTGGTCTTGTTTTGCATTACGCTTTGTGCACTTTGTCTAAAAGTGGGTCAGCCGGAATACGCGCTGCCGTTGAACGGAGACGCGTGACGAGAGAGCGCTTGAACGTCCGTGTCACCGGCGCGGCCCGTTTGAAACCAATATTATTGTTTTCTTTCATTCGATTTTCTTTTTAATTTTGTGTGCTGCAGCTTTTTACTCACCGCGTCTTCCTGTAGTTCCGCTGTGGAACGAAAAACAAGCGCTTAGCAGTGGAGCTAACGAGCTTGTGTTCTCATAGTGGCAGCGGCGGGACATCCACCCGACATTCGCTCATCTCTTCCCGAGCTCACAAGCACACGAAAAATGCAATAAACAACTCAAGTGTATTCCAGTGGGGACTAGTGGAAACTTTCAACGCGAACTAAACGTTAGCTTAGCCTGGCTAGGTGGGGAGCTGCTAACGTTAGCTTAGCGACATTGCCGGGTGTGGCTTGCTGTTCGTCCGCGAAGCTCTACTTCCGGTCCACTTGAGAGGAAAGCTCGCAGAAGAATTATTTAAAAGCTCTCTTTGAAAAAAATTCGCCCCATCTTTGTCTCTCCCTTTTCGTCCACCGTTTTTGTTCAAGATGGCACAGATAAATGGGGGCGGGGCTCCGATTGCAGGCCCGGAAACTTTTTTCTTTCTTCTTCCTGTCAAGCTTTCGCTTACAAAATAAAATCATTTTTGTTCTATTTCTTCTTCTTCAGCTATGGAGTTTGATGGCGGTTGGCAAGAAACGTTCAGTTGCATTACCGCTACCTACCTACTGGTAAAGTGTGTGTGTGTGTGTGTGTGTGTGTGTGTGTGTGTGTGTGTGTGTGTGTGTGTGTGTGTGTGTGTGTGTGTGTGTGAGTGTTGAGGGGATGCGCGCGCGCGTGCGCGTGTGTTTGCGCGCGAGCATGCTTGTGGTGAAACATATGTTAGGGGGGTCCTCTTTTTATGTTGATATTTTGAATTGTTTTAACCGCGCAGCACTTTTAGTTCCATTTTTGTGTGAAAATTGCTACATAAAGTTTGAACTGTATATGAGT